AAGTTCGGAAGCCATGAAATGATATAGAACAATCACATATCAACACTCAAATTGAATCTTGTGACTAAATAAACATCATTCCATAACAAGATAATTGATTTTGACCAAAAAAAGAAATTGAGGTTGAAGATCAATCGACTATTAGCTCTTAAAGAGTAAAATCATCATGTCAGAACTACTATAAATAAACAATTATCAGTTAAAACAACCAGATGACGATTGTGACAAGAAACCAGTTAAGGTAGAGTCGGATGGATTTAAAATACCATCTCTATCAAGTGGATTCGAATTTTGTCAACTTGAGCATATCAAATGCTCTTTAAATTTTTCTGGATTTCAAATACAACTACTAAAGAATTTATCCGAAAATGATGATGGATTTAGGTAGATCATTTCAACTCCAAAACCAACCAAATCCACTCATCAAAACACAACCCTAGAGAAATCTTTTGACAACTTGTCTTCAGTTTTTTTTTTGGATTATTACATACTCCAGCGGGCAAAGCAAAGGAGAAGAAGAACGATATATTATAACATGTTGTGAATCTTTACCATGATTTCTGAAATTGTTAGAAACCATCATTATCTTAATCAAATTGACAAAAAGGAAATTTTTTATACCAAACAAGATATGTAGTGTCTTTATTTTCATTATATTTCTTCCTTTTCTTTCCAATTGTTAAAATGATGTTGTTTTGATAATTTTAATCTGGTTCCTCAAACTATCACTTTTAATCCTAACTGTGAAATTGTAGGAAATCGAACTTGTGAGGTCCCATCCACCTAGTCAACAATATTGACAATCATAGTATAAAGGCATTTCCAACCCTAATAAATCAAAAAACGGGCAAAAAGGCATAGGTAACCTTTAGACTTTGTGTGTGTGAAACTTGGTATATTAGTTGGGAAGTACATGCATTATATGTATGATATTGTGTTATACTTGTTAGTGTTAAAGGAGAGTACAAGAACAACTTCTAATCTTCAAACTAATCACCTTGAATTTGACAGCTACTGAGAAGTCCAGTAGGGTAAAGGCACGTAGAAGGCTCTCTTTAAGATGATAAGCACCCCTATAGTATTTTTTAAATCGATGTAGAAGGTCTAGCACTCCGCATGTGTGACGACCCCACCACCCCCTAGGGCGTACCCCAGGGTTTAGCGGACCACCTACCCAACTCTCGCCAGGACTCGCTCAGTTACTTACAAAAAAAAACAAGAAAAACAATTTACAACTATTGACAATGAATGAAACAACAATTTCCAAGCTTAGAATGTACATTGATGCTTAAGTTAAGGTCCAAACTTGTACATTTCGAAATACCTCAAAATATTTAAAATTTCAAATACATTTAACCCTAATTGAGCACTAGCGCGAGTACAATCGCAAAAATTTAAAAGCTAGACAATGCTAGCCTATACTAGCCTCACGCCCTCGCTCATACCCCCTGTAAGAAACACAAAACTAATAGGGTGAGTTAAAACTCAATGAGGTTCCAAAACATTATGCAGATCTAAGTATCAAGTTGACCACTATTTAAAAGTGAAAATATCAAAGTAGCGAGCATAAGAATTCATAAAAATGAGTAATAATACTTCAAATAGCAAATTATTAGATATCCAACATTTCCAGGTAAAAGGATACAGTCTGCTATCGGGAGCAAGTTCCATGACCACTTGTTCAAAATCTGTTGACACTCCGTCAACCATGGAATTATAACAAGTCCAGTAGAGTACCACTTAACTCAAATCTCCGTCCACCATTTCAACCCCCTACCGTGCCCAAACGTCAAGATAAACATTGGTAGTAATACTCGAGCATACCAATTAGTCGAGAAGATAATACTCCACTCGACAAAACTAGAGACCCATGGTTCTGTAGACACCAAAATTTTGTCAATTTTTAATGTTTTCTTGGATTTTATATGTAATGAGGTATTTATTTTCTTGCATTTTAATTTGTAATTTTCTCATTTTTGCAGGTTTCTTTTAGAAAAAGAAAAACTAAAATAGAAAAAAACAAACAAACGAAATTGATTTTTGTAAAAATAAAAAAATAAATAAAATTCAATAAATAAAAAGAAAATGGAGAAATCATGATGACTTGTTCATCATGATGCCACCAAAAATCATGATGCCACTTTTGACCGAAGGCATCCAACGTGAGAAAAAGAGAAGGCAATGGACATAAGAAGAAAAAAATTGCTTAGGGATCCCTCTATCAATCCTTCTCTCGGCTTAGGGGGTGGAAAAAAAAAAGAGAAGAAAAAATTTGTTCCAGAGGTCCTCGGGCTCAACGAACAGAAGAGGAAGGAAAAAAAGGAAAACTCTCTCCCTTTCTCGGACTTGGGCAGAAGAAAGAAAACGGAGAAGGAAAAAAAAACCCCTCTCCCTCTCGGTTTCTCCTATCCTTTCCCCCTCTCAATTTTAGACACCTACCAGCAAAACAACAAAATAAAGGGCAAGCCATTGGACAGTTGGAGGTTTCGAGTTTCATCAAAGCATTTTAACCAACTCCACTTTCGGTGAGGTATCTCTCAATTTTTTTAAGCAAATTAAATTCATGTTGATTGCTTAGTTTCTCTTGCTTTTGTTGGGTTTTATTGTCGATGTTGCGTTGCCAAATGTTGGGGTTAAGTTATAAACTAGATTAAGGGGAAAGGAAATAAATTTTTGTAAATGCGTACTAATTGTTTGAAAAATGCCAAAAAATGAAGAGTTGAATTAAATTGAATTATTTTTGCTAATTCAAGGTCATGGTTGGGTTGTAGAAGTCACAAGTAGTGTTTTGGTATAAAATTTACGATTTTTGGGAGAGATTTGAGTGATTTTAGGAAAATAAAATTGTGGTTGTAATTTGGCAATTTTGCCACTTTTGATTCATTTTTTTTTTTTGTAAAAAAAATAACTCCGGAAATAGAATCTATGCAAAAAATCGAGTGCGATGGGTATTTTAGCAATTTTTGGTGACCGGAGAAATCGCCGACGACAGGCGTCAGTGTCGTGGCTGCCAGAGCTTCAGTTGGCCGGACAAGCAAACCCAGAAACTGCAGAGGAAAGCTTCGGGCAGGATGCATGAATTTTTGAAAATTTCATTTTTTTTATCCCCCAATTTTTACCTAATTTCACTGTGGCTCAAAAACTTCTGCAAATAATCAATTCTGCCCATGTATTTGTGATTGGGCTGATTTGGCAAATAAAAGTGGGTTGGCCTGCTAGTTTTTCTTTGAACTTTACTTGGGCTGAGTTGATTTTAGACCGAGGGGGAAATAAAAATGGCCCAGTGGCCCAATTTCTTAAGTGATTTGGTGATACCTTGATGATTTTTGTTAATTTTGGAGTTAAATAGGTAAAACCATACCCAATGAGCTACTACTTCAAGGGAGGCATGTTCTTGTTTTATTTTAAATTATCTTATATTCTCTTATGTGATTTTATGTGTGAATTTACATGTTTTGAGTGATTTTTTTTTAGTTATTTGTTTTATTTGTTTTAAGTTTCATATATTTAATTCAACTTTGATGATTATTTGAGAGGCAATCAAATGCCAAATTGTAATAGTTAGGATATTACTTTACTCTTATCCCTCTTAAATTGTAGTTAAAGTCCCAAATGTAATAGTTAGATCTTTATTCACTTTTATTTGTTTATGTGTTTGCATGCTCGTGTGCTTATGTGTTTATTCGTTTCCTTAGGATTTTTGCATCTAGATATTATGTTTACGTGTTACGTACTACATGCTCTTATGTGTTATTTGTTTTAATTTATGCCTATTTGTCTTACTATGTATTATTAATGCGTGATGTCACCACACTAGTCTAACGCTAATTGTGGCATCTCCCTCCGTTTACTTGCTAGTCCAACGCTAGTAAGGATTTTTTAGAAATTGACTAGTCCAATGCTAGACCCCTAGATCGTTCGTGCGTTAGATTTATTTTTGTGTGACATTCATTACATTTTCATGCATATTTTATTTTTAGAATATTTTCTCATTTGCATGATATTTTCTATTATATTATCCGCTACCCCGTACCCTCTATATGTGTTAATCATATCGTTTAGAATTGCACTTCATTTAAGAAATTGTAAAATAAGTTAGTTCATTTGTTTGTCTATATTAGGAGAATTATTCTTCAAACATAGGAAATGGATGATTATAACTTTTTAGTTTAAATTAAGGCTGCTATCGAATCAAGCCGAGCTTGAGTAACACCATACTTGAGCTCGAACTCGATCTCAATCAGTATTACTCGAGCTCGAGCTCGAGTTCGAATAAGTATATAAATTTGAGCTCGAGCTCGACTCGATAAAATGAAAACTAAACTCGAGCTCGACTCGTTTGAGTTCGAGTAAATATCAAACCTAAGCTACTCGAGATCGAGCTCGAGCTCAAGTTCCTATTTCCTCAAATCCAAACTTCCAGATTCATGTTAACAGGTTTGCCTTTCCAATATAAACCAGATTTCCAGATTTCCAGACTTCGAATATAAACCATGACTAACAAGTGTATATAATGAAACAGGTTTGCCTTTTCAAATTCATCCCAAATTACAAATAATATCAGTTACTGTCCTTACAAATAAAAGTTAACAAGATATCAAAATAGACTTGAACCAACCACTAATCAATTAACATCCCAAATTAGTGTCAAAAGTTTCGAGCATTATAAAATACAAAAGTAACAAGTCAGCTTGAGCTATCACTGATCAGTCCATCAAGATATCAAAAAATGAACAACCACCGCAAGGCAAGCACACAAGATTCCAATATGCATCCAGATGCAAAAGGACAAGTGCAACACAGCTTGTTTAACAAAAGAAATGTGCTTATCTGCTTGGCATCCCAGTATGCATCAGAGGCCAACCCAAGATTCAAAAATTGCAGTCCTATCAAGAATGTAGTTGTATCAATTTAAGGGACAAAAGTAAGAATAAAGCAATTAAGAACCACAAGATTCCATAAGGACTATACTACTAAACCTGGCTGTTTGAGAGACATCTTCATACTTTTGGCAACTCAACTTCTTTAATTATCTTAACTTGCTGCATATTAGAAGAAAGGGAAAGAAAACAAAACATTAACAGTTAGAAATAATTTAGAAAATAATAAATTGAGTAACTTATGCACAAATAGTGATCTCGAATACTAAAATACTGAATATTACCTTCATTTCCTTTTTGACTCCATGGAGATTTCTACACCAATCTCCGGCACACAGCAACACTTGAACAGTATCTGAGTGAAGTGAAGCTCGATAGGGGTCTATTACTCGAGTCCTGCCACTAAACGTGGCCTCAGATGCCACTATACTTACTGGAATGGCCAAGATATCACAAGTCATTTGAGATAACACTGGATAGGAAATTCGGTTTATTTTCCACCATTCCAAGCAATCAAATGCTTTCAGGTCTACTCCAGTCTTTTGGCGAGGCTTATCTAAATAATCAGCCAATTCCAACTTAAGGGGTTCATTAGTCTCAACTTCATCACAATAGATATCGAAATCATCCCAAGAAGAAGAAGCTGGTGCATTTTTTCGCCGGCCTTCTAAAGAATAATCTTCCATTGCTCTTCCTTCTATACTGGCCATTAAAGCAACATATTCCTCATAAAGAACAAATAGGACTTTTTGAACATTTGAAATATGCTCTTGAGCTTTGAAAGGAGGATACATTTGAGGGTATGCGAACTCTACAACTCGCATTTTCTGTCTCGGATCTAAAATGGCAGCAATTGCCATTAGCAAATTACAGTCGCCCCAATATTTATCAAACTTGGATTTCATCTTTGTTACCATGGCCCGGATGAAGTCGTCTTCATTATTGACTTCAGCATCTAAAACTTTCTTAATTCTTGCCATCTCTTGAAGGAACAAGTTGCTTGTAGCATAATCAGTCCAAAACATAATATGTGTGGCTGTCCAAAATTTCTCCAAGATAGAGCAAACTTTTTCTACTTTATCCCAATCATCAGGAGATGGGCAAAAATCATAATGTGGCTCTCTATCTTGAAAGCGGGGAAAAACATCTCTAAATTTGATGGCACAATTCAGCATCTCAAAAGTGGCATTCCATCTAGTCTGACAATCATAAAGCAATTTTTTCCCTGGTATTCGGAACTGTTGGGCAATCTCAGCAAATAGCAAAGCTCTTCCCTTGGAGCGATTGACAAATTCCACACTTTCCCTAATATTGTTGGTGATGTCCACTATCTTGGAAAGGCCATCTTGAACCACAAGATTCAAGATGTGTGCACAACATCGAACATGAAAAAGTTTGCCTCCACATAGCAGTTTTTTTGATATGGAGAAGTCATCCTTCAAAAGTCGGATAGCAACATCGTTACTGCAGTCATTATCGACTGATATAGTATGTATCTTGTGATCAATTTCCCATTCCTTCGCACACTTAAAAATTGCAGTAGCAATCTCTACCCCACGTCAAGGTGGTGGTATGTGAACAAAATTGAGAATTCTCTTCTAAAGCTTCCAATTTGAGTCAATCTAATGTCCAGTGATGACCATATACTCTATTTTCTGATTTTTAGATTTCCAAAGGTCGGTTGTGATGCTCATTTTTTGCACATGCTTCAACTTCTTCTTTTCAACTTCATAGACTGTCGCGCAATCATTTTTTGCTATTCCCCGAGAGATCTTTTGCCACTTTGGCATTCCCTGTCTCTTCATGATGTTAAAACCTTCTTCTTCCAAGATAGTGAATGGATGCTCATGCATTAACACCCAATTTGTAGCAGCCTCCCTCATTGCCTCCATATCAAACTTGCCAGTATGTAATGCCGATAAAGTCAAAAATATCTCATCAGCTGGCTGAAAATTCAGTTTTGTTTGCTGTGCTACCATTCTAAGATGCACTTTTCTAGCCGCACAGGAAATCCGGTGCCTTAACATGCTTGAAGTTTGCTTAGATTTGCCCCTTGAAAGTTTTTTCTTACAATGGACGCACGTGGCATAGAATGTGCCATTTTCTTCAATTTCTTCGAAGTCGTCCCAAACTTGTGATGTTTTACTTCTTTTTGGAATGTGGAATTCATCATCACCTTTATTTTACTCTCCTTCTTTTACATTTTTCTCCATAGCATTCACTTGTGTTCCTTCATTCTCAACTGGAGTTTTTCAGTTCCTTGATCAGCCACATGTATTTCTGGATTTGGAGTTGTGTTGTTGCTAATAAAAACAGGACTATGGAGCAATATTGGAGAGGGTGAACCTACATTTGATAGCTGAGGGATAGAAGAAACCTTAGGTGGACTACATCCACCTTCAATTTGCCCAAAAAAAAAAAAACCATTAGCTATGATTAATGTAGACACCAAATTTTTGTCAATTTTTAATGTTTTCTTGATTATTTTCTATTTAATGAGTTATTTATTTTCTTGCATTTTAATGTGCATTTTTCTTATATTTGCAGGTTTGTTTTAGGAAAAAAGCAAAAATAAAAAAAATAGTTTTTGTTAAAAATATAAAAATATAAAAATATATAATAAAAAAATAAAAAGTGGTGGCATCATGATGACCACCAAACATCATCGTGAGGGTGGCCATCATGATGCCTCCAATCCTTTTTGACCAAAGGATACGAAGCAACAGAATAGGGAATTCTAAGAAAATTTGCAAAAGAAGTCCCGGGCTCTCAACGAACAAAAATGGAAAGAAAGAAAAACTCTTTGCTGGACTCATTCTCAGACTCCCTCTCAGGGACTTGGGCTTGTTAATTCTAAGAACCAAATTCATTTTGTTTACAGATTAGCAAGATACTTTTAAACAAAAACCATCAAACCTGTATTGATGTCAAGAATGTTCTTAGTCCAAGCATAAATGTTTTGTTAATTCTGCATCTTCAATATTTGAAACAAAGATAATAACAAAAATGCCAACCATACTGAGTTAGGTGAAGTGCGGTCCCTCTGCTAGTAGTGTGCAATCCACTATCACTAGTAAAGTAGAGCACACTATATAGGATAATTAGATGAAAAACAAAGATTATATCCACAGGGGAAATGAAATCAGTTTCAAGAAAGCTTCTTTCCTGTCTCTTCTTTTTACTCCTAGCCCTCTTGTTTTTCGTCATTGCAGTTTCTAGTGTCAATGATGCACACTCAACATGTAATGGTTCAATAGCTTTGCTTCCTAATAATTATCATAAAGGTTGCTACATGAATAGCGTAGAAGGTCAAAAAGATCTTCTCTGCTTTGCAGGAAGTACAAAATCCAGTACTCATGGAGAAATAACAGAGACAAAGTGCAAAACATCAAAAGCTACATAAGTATATCGGCAAGATCAAAATGAATTAGCAGGTTACCTAGTCCCAGAGGTACAACAGCTAATCTTGAACCACCAGTAGAAGGGCCAGTGTCACTTTGCATTTTTTCTCCAAAAATTTACAATAGCTTTTACTCCCCTTTGATTCCACCTTAAATTTAAGCCGCAAATTGCTAATTTAATAGCCTCTACTCACTATCAACAAAACCCACAATTTTTACCAAAGACCCAAAATTAGGTTTTCATATTCTGAAGTAGAATGAGAACTTAGACTCCAAAATTCACACCCAAATACCAAGGTCAGTCTTTTATTACCTCAAACGAGATGCATTGACTGCCAGCTGCCAGGTGCTTTACAATCGAGTGACATTCCGCCGCTAGTCATGCTACAAGCGCAGAGGAGATAATCAGCGGCTTAGCGGGATCATGTTGTGAAGTTGAAACCAAAAGGAGAAGCAAATTAGTAGATGAGACTTGAGAGCCAGTGGCATTTGTAGAGAAGCAAAGCACTGCGCGACGCTGGTTTTTGCTCACCTGCGAGCTGCGATGAAGTACTAAAGGTAAAGGTTTGAACTTTGAAAGTGAGATTGTGAGAGTGCATTCTTGTTCAGAGTTCAGACAATAAAGTAAACGAGAGTGATTTTTTTTTTGTTGTTTTTAATTTTTACATTTTAGTTTTATCACATTACCATTTTGCCATCCATCACTTTTTTTAACTGAACATTATTTCATGTAAATTTATTAAAACACAAACCCATAATAGTCATTCCATAATTAAAATATATAATATAAATATAATACTAAAACTCGATTAAGCTCATCGAGCACTCGAGTAGTTATTTTCGGAGCTCGAACTAGACTCGTTAAATTAACGAGTAGCTTGAGCTCGATTTTACCGACCTCGAGCCAAGCTTTTTACCAAGCTCGGGAGCGGCTTGACTTGATAAAACCCCTAGTTTAAATACCCCATCGATCCCTGTATAAGAAAATTATGTCATGAGTTTTTGTCTCCCGTACCCATTATGTTGCATTCCTATTCTTTGGTCACTTATACCTATATATATAATTTAACTTTCTTTTCTTTTAATTTCATTCATGCATGCTCGTGATCCCTTCAAGGAATTATTTTGGGTTTCGCAATTAGTGCAATTGGTATCAATTAAACCCTTGAATGGATATTTTGTCCCTTTCGATATTTTATAAATTTAGATTTGCATCCATAGAGGAAACATCCAAACGTGATAAATTTAAAATTTAGATTAAGAAATTTTTTTACTAAACCTCGCAAATAGCTTAGACTAGATTGAAAGGGTGCCTTAGGTTTGAGTTAATTGAACCTTTGCCTTTCCTTTCTTCAACCGTGACTCCAGAACTCATTTTCTCTTATTTTTCAAAGATTTCGATTTGTTGAAAAGGGTTTTATTTTATTTTATTTCATTTTTATCAAAAATATTTTTGGGTGACTTGGTACACCCAAATTCAATACCAAGTGGCGACTCCTCTTTTTTTGAAAATCCTTTTAGACTAAATTTTGGACCCAAATTGTCGCATTCTTTAAAATCCCATTTTAGGTCCTTTTTCACTCATTTTTAAATAAAATCACATCTTTTGTAAACACCCTTTATTTCCATCTTGAAAAAATGGGGCGTGACAACTTGGCGACTCTATTGGGAATGCTAGAGATTCCAAGCACTAGGTTTAGTTGTTTTTTTCTCTATCTAACCCTTTTCACTTATCATACTTAGATGTTTTAGGTTGCATTTTTCTTTTCTAGGATGTTTTGCATTTCGCACTCATAATCGTTTCTCATTTTTTGTGTATGTGATGAATGGTTTATCTATTTACTTTTGTTTATTTACTTATTTGTATCGCGTTTTGCATTTGGGAATGGGGAGCGACATTACCCTAGAGCCTTCATGCATATTTAATGGTCTTACTCCCTCCTCTCAAAGGAGCACTTCATACGTGCATATGTTATTACTTTTTAACCATTTATCTTATTTTCTTTTAGTGGTTGTCACACCACTCCTCTCTGTTAGGATTAGGATCGATCCACTTGGACACGTGGCCATGGCACGGCGTGCACGTAGCAATGTTTAGGGAATCACTCGATCCACAGACTAAGAGCTTTGGAATTGATGACCCTTCGCCCTTTTGTCTGAAGGCTTGGGAACCTGAAATTTTATGGAGTCTAGATGCATTAGTGAGGCCAACCTCATGCATCCATATTAGAAATTGCCTAGAATAGAGTCGATCTTATCCAACTAGGAACATTAGACATGAGGGGAGGGATTCTTCCCCTTATTCTTTATTTTATATTTTTGTATCATTTTTTGCTACAATGTGTTATGTGTTATTTGTTGAACTGACCTCTCTTTGTTTTCTCTTTTCCTGCATGCACAAACCTTAGAAATAAGAGTCCTGGCATGGTATTCGTTTAGGACAAGACCGTCTTTTATAACAAGCACATTTAAATTTTAGCTAATTGCAATAATAATACGGATATGTATTACATTTCATTTTTAGGCTTACCCTGGCATATAAAAGGGTTCTTTTAGGTCATGTTTAATTCATATTATCACATATTTACTTTGTTTAATAAATTGGCGTCATGCATCAACCTTAGAGGGAATGCCACATAGGAAATCTTACGTTAGGAATAAGCCACCTTGTGTCTCGGATATGTAATCCAATGAGACGTGCACATTTATATTTTTTGTACCATCCAAATAGGTAGTGTACAAGGTAAGATAGGATTTGGTCCTTTCCATGTTGATAGCATTGAAGATGAAGAAACAATTTTTGTACATTAGAATATGAGCCTCTAATAATCATTTTTTTTCCTATTTTGTCAAGACTGGTAAAAATCCCTTGCATAAAGGACATTAAATTGAAGAAATTATAAATAATTCCTCATTGTTGAGATAATAAATATATCGAGGCCAAATCTTGATCTTAGAAGGTTCATAGACTAATGCATTGCAACAAATTTTGTGAGTTTTAAAATTACGAATGGGGGAGCATTCCAGTCGATTTTCGAATAAATCGTCAATTCCATCCAATTCATCATTCATTTTTAGGATAATCCAATCAAATTTTGAACTAACCATCAATTTCATTCGATCCATTTAACCTATTTATTCTCTTTTAAAGTTTCGATTTATGGTTCACCGAAGAAACTAGTCGAGACATTTCAGTCATTTCGAAAATAAGTCTTTCACACTAAATTAACTTTTAATATCACTTTATGTGTCAATCAAATCAATCAATCTATTTTGTCCTCATTTTGTTAGGACAAATTGTCTCTTATCACTCCAATTAGTCAAAATTTTCAAAATTGTCTTTTATTTGAATTTCAATAAGTCGATCGGATCCACCAAGTATTGTATGGTGCTTACCCTAGAGGATTGCGTTTTTTATGTTAGACCAACCTTTGGCATAAAAGGGCTCCCCCATAGGACATGCATACCGATTTTACAATTTTGCTTACTAACTCTGAATATTTTTCTTTTATTTTTTCCCTCTCCCCTACATTTATAAAAGTTATTTCAATAAGGTAAAAAATATTTTTCCTATATCT